TTCTATGAGGGAGAAAACAGGGACTTTCATTAAGATGTTGCCAAAAGAGACCTGCTGTTGTCTTTACTAGTCTGTATGGAGGAATCCCCATGTGGGAGGGGAAGAGCCGGCCACAAGGATCCCTGTAACAGTTCTCCTATGCGAGTTGGGGAAGAAAGAGAGAGCAGTTGACCCTACTCACCTCCCTGCTCCCAGTGAGTGCTGGTAGCTGATGCCCTGGTGAGGTAACTAGTTCTTTTGAAACCTAAATTCTCAGGTTATACTATCCTGAGGCATTTAGGAGAATTGAGAAACCACATATTATGTTTGTAGTTAATATTAATGGAGTTTTTGTACTCTTTTGTCTCACTTCTCACATAGTGGTGAAACTGGCACTCTATTATCTTTAAAAATCAGCAAAATACACTATCTATTTTGAGAATTTTGCAGCAAGCTTTATCATATGCAAACATATAGATAACTCAGAACTTAATTTTTTGGATGAAAAAAGCTCTTCAATTAATGTAAGCAAGAAGGAGAATTTTTTTGTTTTAATTAGAAGTGTTTTCAGATTACTTGATGGTTACATCATTATAACTGGAAATGGAACTTCTTAAACCACAGTTGTTTTTTTCAAGTGATTGGCTCTCAACCTTTTAAATGTTTGCTGTTTTAATATAGAGATGAAATGCAAGCAAACAGAATAGACTGTCAGCTGGAAAGTTCAGAACAAAAGGAAATTTTGAGATTAGACAAAGCAGACGTTTTTTAAAACAGGCAATGACTTTTGCCAATTTAACAAATGTCATTATTAGTTCAGGCAAATATGTGTGTGTGTGTGTGTGTGTGTGTTTGATACTATTACATTATTTGTTTATAGATTAATCAATTCTACTGAAATGGAATGGTCTCAAACAGAGTGTAAAAATACTCTACTCTTGAATGGAAAATCATGCTCTCTGATTGGAGGGAGTTTGATTGCTTAATGACTACAGCTGGAGAAATAATATTCTTCGATTATGTTATTCAGTGAATATTGCTGTTTTTAGTACATTTTATTATTATTATTATTATTTATTATTTTATTTATTTAACTAACTCAGTGGTTGACTAAATTTGCTGAATAAATTATTTAACCATATTTTTCTGATACCCATTAGCTTGAATTGTGAGGGGCTACATCACACTACTACAGCAAATATACACAACTAATATTATTGAGAAAGGGTAGTTTGGTAAAGGGTGTGTGCAGAAGGGCCAATGTACCTAATGGACAGAGTGGAATTATGTGCACTAAACAGCCCTTGTTCAGATTGTATGCTTTACACAGACTTGTGTAGCAGACAGTGCAGAGCTGTTCCACATCAGGAGATCAATGGGAGAGCTTTTTCTAAGAGGCACAATCTGGGAGTAAGATTTTTTTAAAGCCCCTGCTTCTCCCCTAGACATGGGTCTCTATTCACACAGCTTACAGGGCAAGCAGGAAAAAAGCTTCCTGAATGTTGAGGGAAGGCAAGATCCCCCATTCCCGTAGCAAAACAGAGGAAGAAGTTTCTGCTCCCAGCCAGCACATAGGCAACGTCCATGCTGAGAAGATTGAGAAGGCTACACAACGGCTTCTGTTTTTATCTGGAAGGCCTCACATGCCATGAAAGATGCTGTCTCCTGCAACCTCTCTAATACCAATGAACCATTAGTCTCCAATGGTTCTGCCTCACTCTTTATTCTGCATGTTTGGTCCCCACTCAGCCTGGACACACCAGCAGGCAGCATGAGGTGAACTGATTCAGATTCTCTATCCTGGGAGGTGGACCTACTACTTCTCCCCATCCAGGCTCCAGGGATCCCATTGAAAGTTATGAAGTGGGTCCTTTTTTCCTTAGGGAGAATTGCAGAATACATGCCTACAGACTGTCCTTTCAGTCTCCCTGGATATGTGCTATCCCCTTCACACAGCTCTACTCCATTCTTGTAGGGGCATGCCCTATGGACGGACAGGAGGTGAAAGTACTGCTCACAACCAGCTGTTAAAGAAGCAGAACAAAATCTTAAAATCTTTCATGAAGGTGTCTCCTAGATCCACTAAAAAGGAGAAATCTCTCAAGCTAGGACTTTGAACAAAATCCCTTAGACTCTCAACTAAGCTTGTCAGAATTAAGCACAAAAAGAAATTGTTTTCCCTTCCTGGAAAAATCTTGAAGATTTTTTTTAAATAAAAAAAAATCCCGTCCTGAATTGGAACATAAAGTGGAAATCTTGAAAAATTTCATGAATGAAAATAAATTAAAAAAAAGTTCAGGTCAATTGAAATGTTTTGTTTAGATTTTGACCATTTTAAAATTAACTTTTTTTTACTCTAATAATCACAATTCTTGAACCAGAAGATCAGAATGTTTAGTTTAGAATATGTAGGGCATCTAGGGTGACCAGATGACAAGAACAAAATATCGGGACACATGGGAGTGGGCGGGCACGTCGCTGAAGAAAAAAAAAAAGCCAAAGTGCTGCCACCGAAGCAAAATATTGGGACAGATGTCATCCCGACCATACATTGGTCAAGACGTGGGACAAACAACTAAATATCAGGACAGTCCTGATTTTATCGGGATGTCTGGTCACCCTAGGGGCATCTTGACAATTTAATTACTTTTTTTTTAATTGAGTTGAGAGATATGTCAAAACTGACCCATTCTCATGAAGTTTCATTCTTGACAAATCAGCATTTTTCAATTAAAAAAAACATTGTCGAAAAATTCCCAACAAGCTCTATTTGCAACTGTTTGTGAAAATAAATAATGAAACAACAAGAAAGCTTGCAAAATTAAAGAAAAGTTGTGTAATTTTTCATCTCTTGGTTTGTGATAATGGGATTAAGGCAGAATAGAGATTCTCTCAAATGACCTACTTGTACCTATGGACTAAAAGGTCTTCATTAATATCCCTAAGGTTAATCCTACTGAGGCTTCCCTAGTAAATGGTATAATCATACTAGCTAAGGGAATATTCCTACCAAGACACAGCCTCAGCTCTGAGAGTCTTGGCTGAAGTCTCTTATTGTGCAGGTCTGTGCTCAATTGAGAGCACATTGTGGGCATGCACACACAGGCACACACAAACACAAAACAACCAGCAATCCAAAGCAGACTGTGAAGAGTTACAAAGTGATGTCATTAAACTGGGTGAAAAAATGGCAGATGAAATTCAATGTTGATAAGTGCAAAGTAATGCACATTGGAAAACATAGTTCTATCTACATATTCAAAATGATGGGATCTAACTTAGCTGTTATCACTGTAGAAAGAGATCTTGGAGTCATTGTGGATAGTTCTGTAAAAATATCTGCTCAATATACAGTGGTAGTCAAAAAATCTAACAGACTGTTAGAAATCATTAGGAAAGGGATCGACAATAAGACAGAAAATACCATAATGCCACTATATAAATACATGGCATGTCCACACCTTGAATACTGCATGCAGTTTTGCTTGCTCCTTCTCAAAAAAGATATAATAGAATTGGAAAAGGTGCAGAAAAGGGCAACAAAAATGGAAGAGCTTACATACAAAGATAAATTAAAAAGACGGGGACTGTGCTCTTTCGGAGTGAGATGTCTACACAGGATATGATAGAGGTCTATAAAATCCTGAATAGCCCAGAGAAAAACAATAGGGAAGTGTTATTTACTCCATCATATACCACAAGAACTAGGGGTCACCCCATGAAATTAATTGGCAGCAGGCTTAAAACAAACAGGAGGAGGTACTTCAAACAACAACCTGTAGAACTCATTGCCATGGGATGTTGTGAAAGTCGAAAGTATCAGTGGGTTAAAAAAAGAATTAGATAAGTTTTTAGAGTCCATCAACGGCTACTAGGCAAGCTGGTCAGGGACACAACCTCTTGCTCCGCGTGCCCCTAAACCTCCATCTGTCAGAAGCTAGAACGGGATGACAGAGGATGAACCATTCAATAACTGACCTGTTCTGTTCATTCCGTCTGAAGCATCTGGCACTGGCTATTGTCAGAGACAGGATACTGGCTTAGATGGACCATTGGGTTGACCCAGTATGGCCATTCTTATGAGATACTTGAGATCAGGTCTACCCCCAGTTGCCATGGAGACAGGGAACACCACACTATGAAGACTGCCTGACATGGAGGATCTTGAAATGAAAATTCAAAGGTAAAACAAAAATATCTCATAAAGAGAGAAAATAATCATTTTGCACAATCATCATTGATGTTCACAGGCCATTGTGATAACATTCTATCTCTTTTGGAGATAGAAGTGTGCCGCAGCATGACTGTGTGAAGTGGGAGTTAAAGAGAACACAAACAGAGAAAATTAGTATCTCAGAATAATGGGATAGGTGTCTCTTTCCCTCCAGATTCTCAACTTCCATTCTGAACTCTTAGTTCTTATGTACAGACAAGAAGAACTGATGACAATGGAGCTTCATTTCAGAGCCAAATCCTTTACTTTATGTATGTGGATAATGCTTTTGAAGTCAATGAGATTATGCATGTGAGTAAATGCACTGGGATTTAGGTCTGGCTGCACTTGCATAACTCCCTACTGTCTTAGGCTTGGTCTACACTAACCCCTCAAATCGAACTAAGGTACGCAACTTCAGCTACGTGAATAACGTAGCTGAAGTTCGAAGTACCTTAGTTCGATCTTACCTCGATCCACACGCGGCAGGCAGGCTCCCCTGTCGACTCCGCGGTACTCCTCTCGTCTAGCTGGAGTACCGCAGTCGATGGCGAGCACTTCCGGGTTCGACTTATCGCATCCAGACAAGACGCGATAAGTCGAACCCAGAAGTTCGATTGCCAGCCGCCGAACTAGCGGCTGGGTATAGACGTACCCTTATCATGTCATCAGACTTTACCTGGAGCTTTTGTAAAAATCCAGGGTACGATATGACACGTAGTGAGGAGAGAATAGGATAGTGTTTATGTTTATGTAAAACAGCAGGAATTTCTTTTAGTAAGTTACCATATTACAATGTTCTACATACCACAGATGAAACTGTCTTGTTTGTTGCAGGTACTACTGTGCCAGCATTGTTGAACAGCACCTCCAATCAACTTTACCTGCACTTTCACTCTGATATTAGCGTGGCAGCAGCTGGTTTTCACCTGGAGTACAAAAGTAAGACTGTCTGTTGGTTGACTCATTTTTTTTTAATCTAATTACCAAACGTGATCTAGGATGCTACAGACATAAAGTGATACCTATGGAATTATATCTTTAAAAAAACAATCAAGTTTAAAATCAGTAGAATTCCAGCCTTCACGAAACATTTTTTCATACAGTAGAAATAAATAAAAAATCTACAAGAAAACTTTCAGCATGTTGTCTCTCAGTATAGTCATATGGTGTTTCAGATTAATAGTTCTGGAAACTTGGATCACATTTTTAAGCACTGTAGTTATGGAAAAGCAGATGGATAACCCTAAATGCCTTTTCCCCATTCATATGTGAATATTTTTCTTCACGGCCCCCATCTGGAAAATCTTGTTAATTCATTGGTGTGAAATAGCTGCAATTGTGATAAATATTGTAGTGCACCGATGGCTACAAACACTATTATAGTTCTCATGTAAGATTCATTGGTGATATGGGCAATAGAAGCCAGAATGGACATTGTCAAACACAGCACATCTACCGCTTGAGATAACTGTGTCCCATTTTATATCCTTTGTGGGCAATTCAATTATGTACCTTTTAAACAGGTTTGATATTTTATAAAATTCCAATGGACAACCACACACACTCTTTGTTCAGTTCATATATGCATGAATTTTTTTTATCTTTTTCCTCTTTAAAACCTTAAAATAATTTCTATAAAATGGTGGTAAATTCCATGCATATGTTTGTTTATTATTTGTTTTAATTGGAGGTAATAAACATTGCAAAGAAGATGATTTAAAAAAAAATGAATGTGGGGATGAGGTAATAGTTTGATAAATGGGTTAATAAAGGTCAAATTTGCAAATCATCTTAGGTGTTTTGTTATGCTGCTATTCCATTGTTTTACAAAAGAAATATAAGAATTTTCTATGAGATTCAGTCTTATAGTACATGCATTTATAAACTAAAAACCTTAATGTTGATATTCATCTTCTTTAATAAGCAGTTGCAAACAAGCAAATACATGGATAAGCTTTAATAATTAATCTTTAGAATTTAGATAAACAATTATCAAGAACATAAACTTATGCACAAAATTTTAAAGGCCAGATTTCCAGCTGATGATAAATATTCTGAACTAGATACAAACCACAGGGCAGCCTCACACTCTGGTTCAATTCCTCTACTTACTACTACCATTTGTATGCAAGTTTGTTGCAATTTATTTGAAAATTACTATTCTAACAATGGTGCAAAATGAGATCAGGGATGTCATTTATAGTAGGATGTGTTTTGAAAATCTGCTACTTTGATACATTTTGCAAACATCTGTAGATGTTAGAATTTTATGTCAAAAGTCAATATAATTGCTAATATACATAGCTGAATTATAGCTGATGAATGCTCTTATCTGTTATGCTTAAGGTTATTTTAACACTGGTGACTAATACAAAAGGAATCTATTATTAAAATATTTTGACTTTTATTTTCTTTACCCATGTATAAATTTTCCATTCCTTGTTATTGTCATCTGCTTCAGTGTCATTACAAAAAAAGTGAAATGATAAAAGAGGCTTACATTTCACAGTGGAATAGATGGTAAGATAATAAGTTTTTTTACAGGGCATTATATTAATTGTTGGAGAAATACCAAAACAGTAATAACTACTTACGAGTCTTTTTCTATCTTTACATAGCCCAAAGATGGTGTCAAAATTGAATATGTCATTTCTAACTATGTATGTTGTTTCCAGATGGGACAAAGAAACTGTTGTATTTTTATGATAATTGTGTTAGTGCATAGTGCTATCTTACTTAGGGTTTCATTTTGAGACCATCCTGATTGTGACTGAAGGAGGACTTTGTTCTATTACTGATTTTTCTGGTGAAAGTTGTTCAACAAAATTTGCCCCTTTATATGTCAGCTGATTAACCTGCACCCTTCTCCCCCATCTCTAATGAAAGAATAAATTAGCTACCATAGTATCTTGTATTCTTGCCTTGTGGATGGGTCCTCTTCATGATGCTTTGTTTTTGGCAGCATGGTTGGGTTAGTATTTCTTTCTGTCTTGGATAAGATTTCTTTCTTAACTTTAGCACGCAGTGATTATTTTGTCTTCCAAGATGCATGATGTAACTATGACATAAAATTCATTTTCAAATCTTTTATTGGCTTTCTTTCTGTATCTCATCAAATTTTAACTTTTTGTATTCACCTCAAGACCCTACATAAGTTTGCCTTTCTATACTCACTTAATCTTGTTTCATTAAATCATACCCCACCTCCTCCCTCAACCAATAATGCCAGTCTTCATGTTTCCTTTTTACATTTCTCACAAGAGTGGAATGCACTCCTATTCCTAATCTTCTGGACCAACACTATAGAATGATTCAAAAATGTTTTGGGAATGGATACTATTCTCTGTTAAATTCTGTTGGATTTACAATAATGGTCACTACTATGCCCCCATTCCAACAAAGCACATATCATGTGCATAGCTTTAAGCACATGAGTAATTCCTGTGACATTAATGGGATTACTCGTGTGCTTAATTGCTTTGCTGGATCAAGGCCAAAAAGCTTTAGGGTTTTATATAATGGTTTCCCTATTGTTTGTCACCATCAATTATCTTAAACCTAGATTACAAGCTTTTTCAGACAGTGACTGTGTCTTACTTCTGTGAAGTGGCTAGCAAACTTTTAGGTATTAGAAATTTTATTATGCTTTAGTAACTTTTGCTAGAGTAAGTATGCTGCCAAGTAACTTTGACTGACCTGTGAGAGGTCTATCTAGTGTGAATGCTGTGTTATGATCTTAGTATCTGTTTTTTACTTTGATTGGATCTTGTTTGCATATATTATGCTAGCAATGTTGTTCCTGCTAAAGAGAAGGTTATTTTAGTCATTTCCATATATCTGTAACCTTGAACCCTTTTCTGATCTTAGAGGTCAGCTGTGAAGTATTTATTATTAATATTATTTATTGTTTACTGGATTACTTAAAATGTAGGAAAAAATCAATTCTGCAACATTTAAAACATAAAAGTGCAAAAATAAGTTAGGATTTTCAGACACTCCTATGGACACTTATAAACAAACACTGCTTTCACTTTTAAAGACATCAGTTATGTTATTTTCCCCACTCAATAAAACCTTTATGATGGTTTTAATTATGTTGGCTTTGTGCTAGTTTGTGTATGGTACATGATGGAATGCAACAGCCAGTTTGTATATGGTGAATGATAGAATGCAACAGCTGAGAAGTAGCCATTATGGTCTAATGTGTCAATAATCCATGTGTTAATAATACCTACATTTCCATTGAGTCCAAAAAGTCTTCCCAGTGCATTTAAATTCTAGATCTATGAAAAGTTATCTGCTGCTTCAATAATATATACCAGGGGTGGCAACCTGAGCCTGAGAAGGAGCCAGAATTTAACAATGGACATTGCCAAAGAGCTAAAGTAATACATCAGCAGCCCCCTGTCAGCTCCCCGCCCCCCACTCCCAGCACCTCCCACCCACCGGTAGCCCTGCCAATCAGTGCCTTCCTACATCTCCTGATTAGCTGTTTCATGGCATGCAGGAGGCTCTGAGGGGGAGGGGAGAGGAGCAAGGTCATGGCAGGCTCAGGGGAGGGGACGGAGAGGGTGGAGTGGTGGCAGGGCCTGTGGCAGAGCCAGGGGTTGATCAGTGAGCACCCACTGGCTCATTGGAAAGTTGGCGCTTGTAGCTCCAGCCCCGGAGTCGGTGCCTATACAAGGAGCTGCATATTAACTTCTGAAGAGCCGCTTATGGCTCCAGAGCCACAGGTTGGCCACCCTGATATATACTTTAAGAAGCCACAAGCCAGAGGTTCAAAATGTTCTCAGAAAGCAGAGGTGTGGCACAATAAAAGCCTATTCTCAACACTATTGTATATTATGTAGTTAGAGTTAAATTAACCCAAACATGGGAAGTGAGAGATTTGGACATGCAAATACGGTAAAGCAAAGACTACAACTTTATTAACTTTTAACCAAAGAACCCAGGTAGTTCCTTGAACAAATACCGCGCTCATATTGAGCCAGGCTGGTTCCTACATTGGCAAGAAGTAACACAACCAAATACCTAAGGGGAGGCAACTCCCTCTGCATAAACATAATAATAGGATTAGGCCCAAGATGCTTAAATACTCCCTCAACCTATTCCTCATGCAAGGTCTAAGTGTCCAGACTTTGGGTACCCCATTCCATGTGAGAAATTGCTCCCATTCCACGAACATCAAGGCCCAGGTCCAATGCCTTCTGACTTCTGCATAGGTAAATGCAAATATGGCAGTCCACGGTGGACACTTGTCACTGGGGGCACGAGCTATTAGCAAGGACATCAGCTCCCCTTCGGTTAGTTAGGAATAAGTTTATTCATCCTCAAAAATCAGTGAGAAATATATCACCCTTAGTTTTTTAACCACATAGTCTTAAGAATGCACTGACAAGAAATAGCATGAGGATTATTTTGTTTGTGTTTTAATATGAAGTGTGAGTGAGGGTAATATTGAGGGAAAGCTTGGGCAAGGAGGTTGATTCTTTTTTTCATTTACCTCTGAATGTGGCAATGTTAGTAGTGATTTCTTTGCTTCTGTCTTTCTTATTTTTGTATAGCCTCCTCTACAATTGACAGTTTCACTGTACTATTGGGATAGCTGTCATGGGAAGTTCTGTTTACAGAGAGACCATCTCTCAAATAGAACTAATTCTATCCACCATTGTAAATAACAAGTCATTCCCTTGAATTCAGTGGACATACCCCAGTGTAAATGAGAGAAAAATCAGAGTTTGAGTCTAGGGTATTACTAAGTGATATAATCTATGCAGGTCTCCTTCACTGCTTTGCTTAGGAGACACACAGATCGACACCTTAATGAACGATGCCTTTTGGGGTTATGTGCCTCCAAGATACAATACACACTGGTGTCTAGTATCAGAGGGGTAGCCGTGTTAGTCTGGATCTGTAAAAAGCAACA